ATGATAATGTACAGACAAGAGTAGAATCATGTTAATCGACAAATTCCCGCGTTCATTGGCATCAACTCGGGACATAAATTGCCATGTCGTTTCGTTGCTATCAAAGACTCATTTACATTGACCCTTAAATTTCTCTACGAAGCTCGATGGTGCAGTGGAGGAAAAATAACGTGTGATTCAAAGAGAAACATAGACAAGGATCCCTATAATGCCTATCTGGTTGCGCAACCGTCTGATACGCGACGCGTGTTCGCGTATCGTACGCACATGTTAACTTGTGCAACCGGCTTTTCCTCTTTTCACCCCGCGTTCAGCATATTTCACAAATATGCTGTCTCTTATTGCGAAAGAAAGAACCGTTAGTGCTCTCAACCCTTGACATGCATATGAATCAATAGTGATTTACGAATTGATAATTAATTTTTTGAAATGCAAGGAATTTTCAATTATATCTTTCAGTTATATCTTTTAATTATCATTTCGTTCAGTTTTAAATCGTCTGTTTGAAAAATTAAAAAAAAAATTTAGAAGTTTTTTAGCTGCCTCTCCAATTATCTTATTCAATCATCAATTATTATCGGAGACTGAGAAAAAAGCAGAATTCTGCTTGGTCTGGAAAAAACGAATAGTTTTTTGTGCGCTGAATCCAAATCTGCAAAACAAAATGGCCTATCACGTCAAGTTTTTGAGAAAAATGGGGTTGAAAAACGCATTTTTTACTATTTTTGAAAATTCGTAGCAGACGAACCCGATGTGCAAGAGACTTCGGACAAGGCTCAAATGAAAGCTTAAACATTGTACTTTAATATAAAAATGTCGACTCTTTTACTACAGGTACCATCGAATCTCAGACGCGCTTTGTTTTTAGGTGTAGTTACACTGTGTCAAGTAGAACGATTGCCCCATGCAGTCCGATTGCAAAACCATCGCTAATAGTAAAAATTTCAACAGTGAATTTAATAAATGAGAATGGAAGATCATATTTTATTATATTTGTAAAAAAACATATTTTTGAAAAATCGTTATCTTTTGAAAATTGTTTAAACAACAATTTTTTAACAAATGAACAAAGAAATGTTTTTAATGCGTTTCAGTACTTTTATATTAAAATTTTTACTGTTTGCAACAGTTTTGCAATCGGACTGCATGGGGTAATCGTTCCACTTGACACAGTGCGACTACATCTAAAAACAAAGCACGCCTAAAGTTCGATGGTATCTGCCTAAAAGATTCGATATTTTTATATTAAAGTACAATGTTTAAGCTTTCATTTGAGTCCTGTATGAAATCTCTTGCATATCGGGTTCGTCAGCTACAAATTTTCAAAAATAATAAAAAACGCGTTTTTGGGGGTTTCAATCCCATTTTTCTTGAAAACTTGATGTAGTAGGCCATTTTGCTTTGCGGATTTGGATTCAGCGCACAAAAAATTATAGGAAGCTACTCGTTTTTTCCAAATCGCAAAAAAAAAAGATATAAAATTATGCAGACCTGTGTTATCTATTTAAAATAACAAGTTGGTAGTAAAAGTTTCCGCCACTTTTCTTAACCTTAAAAGCGTATCTAACGTTGTTGCACAAATTAACCTAATGTGGATCGCGCGCATAATGATAAAGCAAACCGAGCCGCTAATAATTTTACGGAGTGATTGCACCGTAAGCATAATTCGCGGCGATAATGTCTGTCATCGAGATACCGACTGCACCCAAATTATCGCACTCCCGCGAGTGTTGCCGCGCGACTCGGCTCCGTACATCACCGCTATTGAATCACCAATTCAAATTTCAGCCAAGTCCTTGGAGACTCGACCCGCGCGTTTGTTCCGCGATACCGTGTCGCCCAGCTGTCACCTCTCGGTTATTATCAGTTCCGTATCACACTCGTGCATTGAAGCTTCTATTTCATTTCGTTCGTGGCGCCATTCGTGGCGACGTTCTTGAACAATATCTCTGCAAAAGATCATCTTTCACCTTCTCTACAAAAGGTGGAATAATAGATTATGAAACGTAGCAGAAGTTGCTACAGAAAATGATATATAATTATCTAATTCGAATAATTACGAGATAGCATAACGGTGAAGTAAAAGTTTTTCAATAATATTGATAAGCAGTATTTTTTTTTTTTTTTTTTAAATTAAAATTAATAATTGTAAATATATTCTTTTTTATTTTTCTCAATATCTCAATTGAGAACCTACATTTCGCATGTTTCTCGCGAAAAGAATTTCAAAGTTCAGCTGAGGATATCTTTGCAATTCACTAACAATAAGCCGAAGTAATATCTCACGGTTGATTAATCTTTCTTACCACTTCGTGGTAGCCGATTTAAGAAAGAGATGGACATGGCACGTATTCCAGTTCTTTCCTAATCCCGCCGTTCGTCTAGAACTTTAGACAGCACATCACGATCGCAGTCACGCACGAAACGAGTCGGCGGGTTCAACGGTGGTCCGTTCGTCCAGGATAAGAAGAAAGAAAGGAAGCCGCTCCTATTATTAAGCAGGAAGAAAATGGAATAGCGCTGGATATGCGTTTTCGAGGAGAGGAGAAGAGAGAGGAGAGGATTTCTCTCTAAGCGGACATTTACCAAAAAGCTATGAATCGCTCTCGAACCGGCCATCGACCAGCCATCCGCGCCCCAACCATCTGCCCCCACGGGCCCTTTTTTCTCCTACCTGAAACTCGTGTTCACCTGGCTGGCCTTCCCCCCACGTACACTCTCTCTCTTTCTCTCTCTCTCTCTCTCTCTCTCTATCTATCTCTCCTCCCCCCATCTGGCAATCTGTCTCGTTTATCTTATTTTCGAGCCATTCAGCCATTGCCACCGGTTCTCTGTGGGCCAAACGCTCGCGATGCCTCACGTGCAGAATTCTCAATGGAATTCGCCGAGGCGGACGCGCTCTTTTTGCGAGACTCTCTTCCTCCCATGAGACGAATTGTGACGGTATCCGTCCCCAATGCATCCTTCCTCAAGCGCGTTATGGTCAGATAGTCTTGCGATTTACAAGAGCGAATTATGTAATCGCCGCGACAGAGCCGGAAACGAGGAACGAGCGGAAAACCGCTCGATGATCGTGTGAAAGCGGATATCGCACGTTTTTAACCCATTAATATTCTAAATTATTAGTATATTTTTTATTTACAAGTTTTTAACAAACTTTATTCGATGTCATTTTAACGATTAATAATCAATTTATTAATTTGAGAAATATTAATCGCGGAATTAATTTTCCGTTATTCATTATTTTAAAACCAACAATGTAAAAACGTAGAGGATTTCTCCTCAGAATCTGCTCGAGAAAGATAAATGTTAAACTGTTCGCGCGTCCGTTGGTATGCAATTTTCTTTATAACTTTTGATCGAGCCATCGATCAATCGATTCGACATATTCGAATTAACACAATCAGCATCGTTCTGCAACTCGATGATCGAATTGGATGACGTGATCGCAACTCGGTGCATCGAAGAGGTCCCCGACTCGCCCCGACGTAAACGCGACGTCTTCCGGTGCGTAGGTACATCAGGAAGTGTAATTAAGCTTTTTTTTTTTTTAATACATAATTGCTTCTTCCGCAGAAGCGATTACGACTTGAACAACATATTACAAGTCATACAATGGCAACTATATAGGGCTGCTCGCAACCATTTCTACAAAAGATGTGTCAAGATTTCTTTTCTCTCTCGCATTTTTATTTTAAATCTGGATGTATATGAGCATAAACATTTATCGTGTTTTTTATTAGCTCTGATACTTTTGTACCCGAAAGGAAGTAAAACCAAGTAAAAAATAAGTAATTATAAGTATCAACATAGTTACATAGTTACAGAAGTCTCAACATAATTACATTATCCTAATTTGGCGAAAAAATAACAATTACATATATAAATTATAATATCATAATAAATTATAATTAACTATATAATATTATTATGATTTAAAAGTCAAAATGAAGTATCCTCAAACAAATATAGATTCAAAAATTGATTTTTCCAGGATAACGCCTTTCCTTGAAGAATAGATATTTAGATATATCGTTTTTTGCTTCTCTCAAGTACGAAATTTATCCCGCTGCGTCGAGTTGTCGCGCATCGACAAATTCATTTGATCGAACGATCATACTCCTTATTTGAATAACTCGCGACGCAATGAGAGAGAGATCGACAACGCACACTAATGGCGCAATCTCAATCTTTGCCGGCACGTAAGATAATGATCGATAGTATTTCCTTGTTTTGTTGGCGTAATGATTATTCGTTATCGTGATCTATTTCACGTCATTATCTTCGATAACTTGCATTCGTATAAATGTGGCGTTTCTTGACGTAGTGTGATAATAAATCCAGTATTTTGCAATAGAAAGGATTTTTTCTTATCGAATTAATGTCATCCGAAAAAGCACGAACAATAAGAATATAAATGTAAATAACTACCTTAAATTACTATTTCGATTTCCATCTTACGTATTTTTTCATTATTTATTAGTCATGATTTATTGGATTAATATTCCAAATCAATGATAAGATTTAATAGAAATCATACAATTTCTGTATTTTTCATGACATTTTATATATTTATAGTAAGAGATAATAAGATTTAAGATATAATAAGATAAATAATTTTTTTATTAGTTTTTGTGTACAAAAATAGTATTATTGTGAAATATTTGTAGATAATGACGAAAATAAAATGTTTTTTATTTTCTCTTCACAACAAATATTGAAGATAACGAAGTTATCAAGATAACAAAATCTTATCTAGAGTATAGTTGCGGTTCAAATGTCAGAGTTTCTAGTTGAAAGAACGAGATTATATCATAAATTAACAATTCAAACTATATCAACAACAATATGTTCATTTTCTTACAATTCTCAGTTTTAAAATGATCCATTGATAATACAAAAAATTAAAAAACGGTTTCAAAAGTTTTCAACACTTTTCTATAAAGTCACGACACGTCGATGGTGAGAAAAGAAAAAAACAATGGGGAAAAAAGATTCACCTTGCACGGCAAGAAGGATCACCAACAGACCGAGTATTCGCGGTGGCAGCATCTTCCCACGTCGACACCTCTGCGTTTCTCTCTTCGGGAATTTTTTTTAAATCACTTGACAAACTAATGGCACAATGCGCACTATTTCTCTCTCTCTCTCTCTCTCTCTCTCTCTCTCTGTCCGTTCCGAATCTCGCAAAAATTAACCTATTCGTCGCGGTCCCTCGATCCTTTGTTATCGGCGTTGATCTCGCAAAGGAAAAGTAAAAGTGTTCGAATCGCGGGAATCGAATGTACCGTCCGTCGTCGTCGAACAGAATCCAACTGGATACCGAATACAAACTGAGCGAAGGAACGCGCGCGGTATACGAAGACCGACGGAATCGCGCCCCCGGCTTTTTACGGGGACCTGCGCGAACTGGCTGCGCAGTCGACTTGGATCTCCGACTGTGCATATGGATATATGTATGAGCCGCGTGTTGTTCTATACGTGTGTGCGTGTGCGACGCGCATAATTGGATTAAAACGCAAATCTGTCAATTTTTCTTTCGGTTTCGAATGCAATAATTGCAATTCATTTTTTTTTTTTTTTTTTTTTTTTAATAATAAAAAAATGATAAAATTCATTCGAATTTATTCACGTGTGTGGTGTAAAAACTCTTTTAAATTGTATCATAAATTATATTATATTTCGCTCTTTTTTTTGTCTTGATCCGATAAATTCGTATCTCGCCAAAGCCGCTGTAAAAACATGAAAATGTAAGTAGGTGTAAATTTTCTCGAGAAGACTCTGATGATGCATATAGATAAAATAAACGCAATAACATACCAACAATCGTGCACGCATATGTATGGACAGGATTTGCACGTGATGAGCACCGCGTCGCAGAGAGGCTTCGTCTCATCCATTCATTCTTATTGTGCAAGATACGATGACGGCATAAAACATTTAATTCCGAGCTTTCTGTACAAACACCGACGCCACTTTTTTTTTAATAATAAAAACATGATAAAATTCATTCGAATTTATTCACGTGTGTGGTGTAAAAACTCTTTTAAATTGTATCATAAATTATATTATATTTCGCTCTTTTTTTTGTCTTGATCCGATAAATTCGTATCTCGCCAAAGCCGCTGTAAAAACATGAAAATGTAAGTAGGTGTAAATTTTCTCGAGAAGACTCTGATGATGCATATAGATAAAATAAACGCAATAACATACCAACAATCGTGCACGCATATGTATGGACAGGATTTGCACGTGATGAGCACCGCGTCGCAGAGAGGCTTCGTCTCATCCATTCATTCTTATTGTGCAAGATACGATGACGGCATAAAACATTTAATTCCGAGCTTTCTGTACAAACACCGACGCCACTTTTGCATTGCACGAAGGACGACGTGTCCTTTTAACTCGAAGGCGTTCGACATTCTCATACATCGCGATCTTAAAAAGAAAGAAAAAAAAACTGTTAGTCATCGACACGAGATTTTGCACAACGCAAAAAGAATGTGCTGTTAGTTTAACGATCCATTAACAAGCAACTCTCTTTTATACATAATTTCGTAACTGTATGTCACTCAAATGGTCACTCTTCCATTGATATCTAATAATGTAGAATCATATTTTTACATATGCTCAAACGCATATCTTTGCAATTAATCTTTTTTCTTTCAGAAATGAATTTTTGAACTAATTTTCTTGCTTAAAAAGCAGATCTTTTATTATCCACACACACACACACACACACACACACACATTTATCTACAAAATATTAAAATTAGAACTTTTTTTATATATGATACTTTCTATAAGCATTTAATTTATTTATATCACGATATTAATGTTAATAGCTATATGCAATAACAGAATAAATCATAAGAATCGTATAAAATAGACTATTATATTGTTATTAGCTATTTGATATTAAATATAAATGAGCCATTATATCAAATATACATGAGATATTACGAGTCACAGCGACAAGTTTCTTGTTTTGGTGCAGATTAAATTGATGTATGTATAATGTTGTTATGGTATTGTCACAATATACGTAACATGACTTATCAACGGCATGACTAATACCGCAAAAAATAATGATGTCATGCATGTGCACAAAAGATGCATATTTTACTTGAACGGTGGTGTTTGTGTGACGACATGACTTATTAAAACTTCACACGAAAAATTACTGATCGCCCACTTTTTTCACAAGAAATGCCGAATCCGGTCAAGATTTAACATTTTTTTCGTGGAACTTATTCGAGGAAATTCGGTTTTCAGAAATCACATGAACCACACACAGACAAAGAATATTCTTTTTTATCGTGAATAATAACTTTTATCAAAAATAGATATATTGTCATGCTCTCTATACGGAAGGAAAGAACGTTAGATAATTTCAGTTGGTATTGACCGCAAATATATGTAAACGAAGTCAAGTATGATTCACTCGACCGCAAATAAGCAATTGTAATTAACACATCATCCTTTCATGAAGATATATGTAATATCGTGTAAGTAAAATTAATATTTGAATCGATAATCTTTAATTTATTTCATACATAATTCTCGATGGGCAATGCATTCAAATATAAATCAATTTATTTTATATATTCTTAATGATATTTACTTATGTAGCTTACGTCGTAATTTTCATCTAATGAATAAAGTTAATAATTATAAGAAATTAAATTATGATTATACGTAATTTCAAATACAGTTTAGAGTTGAATATCAGAATATAATTGAATTTAGAATTTAAACGGGAAATATAATCTTAAACAATCTATTTGTTTACTATTTCAATTATTCTCAATTTTGTATAGATATATATATATATATAAAATATTTGTGTTTAAATATTATATGCATGAAGTTTTAATGCAAGAAATATTTTCATATTTACTCGACCCTGATCAAATGGAAAATATTTGAAATCTGCGTCCGCCCCAGGTGAACGGCGCCTAAACTTCCGGTTTGTGCGATAACAAATAAGGCTCTCTTTTAGCACAGTTATCATTGTGTTCTACAAATATCTTAATATCTAAATATTAATGCAAATCACAAGTACTAACGAATTTACAGATATTACAAGTATATATAATATTCAGAGAAAAATTGTAAATGTTTTTATACCCTATTATTATTAGTATTTATTGGATTATAGTACGGATAACTAGCAAGAATATAAGCCAATTTCAACATATATTACAAATATATAATTAATTTGCAACGCATAATGAAACGTAAGAGATTGCTTAAAATACATATCTGCCATATTCTCACACATCTTATTGTTAGACAGTGACAATAAAAGTGCTGCTCTCGAAGAATAAGCTTGTTTAAAGTTTAAAGCTCGCAGGAAGATAGGGCGTAAATCTAGCGATATGATCATACTTAATTAAATTAAATTATATTATTATTTTTTAAATTATATATTAAGGTATTTTCAAACGTTCACTTATATTCTTTCATGCATTTCCGAGTGGGAACCTATCTTATTTTGTACATACAAACTGCCAAAACTTTTATATTAAGCAAATATATAATTATTATGGTCGGTAAAACAGGACGGTCCGGCATCCTCTTAAGTTAATTATATATTTAAAATTTAAAGGAAAAAAAGTCAATACGAATCTAAAATGGCAGTGTCACAACCAATGCGTCAAACAATTGTGTTATATCTTATAATTAATTTTAATTAATTACAATTAATTATATTTAATTGTAATTAATTTAAATGTGGTAATTAATTAATTTTAATTAATCATATCTTCCCTGTCCTTCTCTTCTTCCATTAAAAACGTCTTTACCATATGTAAAAAATGCAACTCGCTCTTTGATCGACCGAGCTTGCTTCTAGTAATAAATACTCGACTTCCGGAAAACGGAGCCACCATTCGAGGCGTCGCTAGTGTAGGCTCCTCGGCGCGCGATTGGCCGGTTTCGTATTGTGATGCATCGGCGAACGCGACGACGGGACAAAGGACGCTTTCGTACGCAAGCAGAAGGACGCCATGTTCATTTGTCAACGGACGTCAAGGTGTTCCCGTGCGGGATGAGCGAGCCAACTGTTCACGGACAAGAGTCGGATGGTCGATCTGCGGGAGCGGAGGATACCTCGCGCGTCTCGTCCGATCCTCCTCCCGTCATGAAGAACACCGTCTCCGAGTCGCGTAAACGCAAACGCGAGGAATACGAGATGCAGCTGTTCGGCTTCCATTCCCGAGCCGTGTACGCGACTTGTAAGTCGTCCCGTTCTTCCTTCTAGCTTCGAGACGACGCTATTGTTTCAGAGCGCGTTCATCGTACGAGGGGCGGGGTGATCTCCTGCTAGTCTCTCGCTGTCGCTGGACGGGTGTGCTCTAGTTTCATGTGGCATTCGATCATGACTAGAGTCACACTCGTCCAGCGACCGGGACACTTCCGTCGAATTATGACAAAGGGGAACGCGCGATCTTCCGA